TGCCCTTTCACGCACTGCCATCCCTCGGAGCTCCTCAGCTGCGAACAAGCCGCCAGCTGTCCGTGGCGGCTGCGTGTTTCACTAAAGCCTCTGAATGTACTATAGTGCAGACAGGATGGTCCCGTGGGCTTTCGCACGAGATGTCACAGCGGGGGCAGAAATACCCCCCGACGTGGCCAAATGCCCCTAGAAAGCCTCTTCCTGTCCCTTTGAGAATGTACAGCAACAAAGAAGGCCTGGGCAGTGTGTGCCTAGCTCTGCTGGAAAAAAAGAAAAGAAAAAAGAGAGAGAGAGAGAGAGAGAGAGAGAGAGATGCAGCAGACATGTATGAGAAAGGCGTGGAGCCCACAGCAGCTCAGTCTAATTCCCTAGGCAATCTTACAAGGAAAACCCCCAACAGACGTGTCTAATCCCCTCTCCTTTCAATTCTCCTTGCCAAGAAATGTCCCAATTACCAATTCACTATCTCGGGCATAATCCTGTCGGGCGAGTTTTTATGAAAGAGTAACTATGCTACATTTCCACAGACGTTTTTAAAAACGCAATTGCTTCAAGCAGTTCACAGGTTATTATTAACAGCGATATTGGACCATCTGAAAGGAAACGGATGGAAAAACATTTGGAATGATGGTTAATCTTAACAATGTGTTAAGACAAATTTTTTAAAAATCCATTAAATAAAAGAGATGACAAAATCCTTCCACAATACATTCTATATTTAAAAGTGGGGATACAAATATGTAGATTCATTCTTATATCATCACGGCTGAGGAAAGCTTTCTTAAAGAGAAGTGAAGATGGCAAACAAGGAGGTTGATTTTTTAAACTGCACACTAAAAAATGAAACAGAAAATATAACGAAACTAAAAGTAAAGACCACATAAAAATTAGTGGTTCAAGTTCTTTAAATACTTAAAGTTCTTATAAGTAAAACAAAAATCAAAACCTCAATGAATATATGTGCTGAAGGACAGGAACATGTAGTTCACACATGTGACTACACACACGGATGTGCACACACAAACCCAATCCATGCAACACAAAACCTTTGCTTCCAAATTTCCGAAAAATACTTAATCCAATCAACTGAACGGCCAGAAATAAAAACCAGGCAGCATTATTTCTTTATACATGTGCTTGATAAAAGATTCACAAAAACGGCAATACGATTCAAAGTTGTCCAAGGGCAGTCACTGATCTGATCACAAAATCCTCCTCCCAGGGAGATGAGTCAGGAACATCTATCTCCTAAATCACAAAACGTGTACTTTAAGAAATTTTTCCTAAGAAATCATTAGGAATCCACACAAACATTTAACTATAAGGATATTTATCTCAATGTTATTCATAACAGCAACCAACTTGAATAACCTACACATAAAAGCCCAGCATGGTAGCCTAGTGGCTAAAGTCCTCACTTTGAATGCATCAGAATCCCATATGAGCGCCAGTTCTAATCCCAGCACCTCCATTTCCCATCCAGCTCCCTGCTTGTGGCCTGGGAAAGCAGTCGAGGACGGCCCAAAGCCTTGGGACCCTGCGCCCATGTGGGAGACCTGGAAGATGTTCCTGGCTCCTGGCTTTGGATTGGCACAGCACCGACCATTGCGGTCACTTGGGGAGTGAATCACCTTAGGAAGATCTTTCTCTGTCTCTCCTGCTCTCTGTATATCTGACTTTGCAATAAAAAAAAAAAAAACCTACACATCAGTTGGTTTAAAAATAAAACTTGGTCCAATCAAATAACAGAGTATCAAGCCGTCTTTAAGCCTGACAGATGGAGTGGACACTTGGTGGAGTGGTGAAGACACTGCTTCGGATGATGGTTGTGTCTCGTATCGAGTATCCGGGTTTGAGTCTTGGCTCCAGTTTCAATTCCACCCTCATGCTAATGTGCATCAGCTGAACTCCCAGCTCCTGGCTCCAGCCTGGCCTGACCCTGGCTTTGCTTACATGCAGGTAATGAACCAGCAGAGGGGAAAATCACAGTCAGTTCTCTCTCTCTGCCTTTCAAATAAGTAAATAAATAACTTTGAAAACATTATAGGATGTGAAAAATGTCCATGTTAATGACAGCAGAAAGATGGGTAGACGCTCAAAACCTAACAGTAAGAGTAATTCTGGAGTCAAATTGCTGCGGTTCAAACTCCACATCCCTTGTTAAGGAGCTGCAGGTAGCAAGTTTATAATCCTCTGTTTCCCCTCCCATAAAAAGTATAATCCCTATGAAATATCTAATCTAGATAAAGATTGCCAATGACTATTTACAACCATTAGGATGGAGCCAATGTTGTGACACAATGGGTTGTTACTGCCTGTAACACAGGCATCCCATATGAACACGCATTTGAGCTGTGGTTGCTTCGCTTCTAACCCAGCTCCTTGATAAAGTGCCTGGGAAAGTAGCAGAAGTTTGTGCAAGTCCTTGGGCCTCCTCACTCATCTGAGACTAAGATGGAGTTCTAGCCTCCTGGCTGTGGTCTGTACCAGCCCCAACCACTGTAACCATTTGGGGAGTAATCCAGCAGACGGAAGACCTCTCTCTCCCTGTCATTCCTTTCTGTAACTCTGCCTTTCAAATAAAAAATATGTAAAAGACAAAAAAAAAAATCAGTGCTTAATAAAAAGCGGTTGCTCACAAGGACTTCTACTTACACTAGACAGCTGAGAATCCTGTCTATGTTCTAAAAATGGGCACTAATTTCACTTGCAAGATTGAAACAAGCCATCTCATCTATGTACCTAGACACGTTGGCACAGGTTAATTATCCTTTATCTAAAACACTGAGAACCTGAAGTGTTTGGGATTTTATATGTTTATTCTTTATTTTGGAATATTTGTGTACACACACAATGAGATCATCTGGGGAAGGGATCCAAGTCTAAACATGAAATCCATTTGTTTCATCTACACCTTGCATGCAAGGCCCAAAGACAATTTCACACAGTATTTTTTTCATGATTCTGATTGTGAGACAAGCTTTAATGTACTGCTTTCCCCACCTGTGGCATCACGTCAATGCCCAAAAAGTGTGTAGTTCAGAGCATTTCAGATGAGAGATGGTTCCCCTGCTCCATGAATCAGGAAGTAGCACTCTGCGCTCAGGCTGTGCCTGCAGCCTAGTGTTGGAAGCATGGGCTACAGAAAGATGAAAATTGCTGAGTGTGCTCTGAAAGGCCAGAAGACTAACCACATGTTACAGGAAAAGCCCACGTCACGCTGGTGTCGTATGCCTGCAGTTCACCTCACACTGGCTCTGGCATCCCCAAATGCGCACAGATGGAAGTCAGATACTGTGCCTGATCCCATGATGCTTCAGCACTCCACACGACCACAACTTGTCCTGGTGCCTTTAACCAAGCCAATTCACCCCCCGATCCAAGACTAAGGCAAGTAAACAAAGTCCTTCTTTCTACAAGGGGAAAAACCATTTCTCTTTTAAATTTCACTCCCATTGCATTTCTCTTTCACTGCTCAGAGATAATGGTTAGACATTTAGGTCTTACTTCAGTCAGAACAGTCACCTACAAATTACAAAATTCAGGCTCGTTCTGGAGAAAACAGTGCGTGGCTGCGTGGAATCACTAGAAAGCCTCTGAAATGCTGGTGGAGGAAGAAGTCAAATGGCCATTCTGCTCCCCAGAATCTTCCTTTAGTGGGTCACAGACACATCAGCCAGACTTCAGTAATGTCATTCATCCTTCTATCATGGGTAACATGCCCGTGGGTGGATGATGGCATTACTAACAAGCCGAGGACAGACACCACCACATGGCTATCTGACAAGAATGGGCAAACGTAAAGAAGGAGAAAAGTGAGTGCAGTGTGGCTTCCTTACTAAGCCAAACCTAACCACTGACAGCTGCACAACACAGTATCACACAGGACACCAATGATAAAAATCTGGACACCAATGATAAGATTCCAGACACCAACCAGAAGCCGGTTCTGCAAATTCAAGATGGCAGCCAGCCATGGTGTGAATGGATTCTGTAGTGTTACTGGCCCTCCCCTCACTGAAGGCTTACAGCAATCACGCCATGCTGCAGTCAATGGATATGCCTATGGAACACAGATTAAAGAAGTGAATCTGCACTGAAGTCTGTGTCCTGTGACTCAATACAATAACATCAAAAGTAGATTTACTGGGGGCCAGGCGACGTGGCCTTGCGGTTAAAGTCCTCGCCTTAAACGCTCCGGGATCCCATACGGGTGCCAGTTCTAAACCCGGCAGCTCCACTTCCCATCCAGCTCCCCGCTTGTGGCCTGGGAAAGCAGTCGAGGATGGCCCAAAGACTTGGGATCCTGCCCCCGTGTGGCAGACCTGGAGAGAGGTCTTGGCTCCTGGCTTTGGATTGGTGCAGCACCAGCCGTTGCGGTCATTTGGGGAGTGAATTATCAAATGGAAGATCTTCCTCTCTGTCTCTCCTCCTCTCTGTATATCTGACTTTGCAATAAAACTAAATAAATCTTTAAAAACAACAAAGTAAATGAGTCTGGAACAATTTGCTGAAGGTAAGTGAGCTGTGGCTCCCTCATCTATAAAATGGATCTATCTTTGTGAACACACATCTGTAAAGATCTGTTATCTTTATAGTATTTGTTGGGAAAATGAGGTGAGACCATCTGTGCATCCGACAGCCTGGTATGTGGTACCCGCCCAACAGCAGCCAGCACTCTCCCCTCCTGATGTGACAGCCTGTTCTCATGCATGCTGCTGCTCACCAGCAGCTTCTCCTCCCCAGCTGCACTGGAACCTGGGGTCCACCCTCGATTCAGGGAAGGATACAACAGCTGCTGCTGGGAAAATGGACCCAGCTGGCCCATCTCACAATGAGCACTGGGATATGGGTTGAGTTCTTAGAAAAGGCCTGGCCCACCTCAGCCCTAAGTAGCCCTCATCGTGCTGATGTTCCAGGCTTCTCGGGTCACAGAGGTGGGCCTCCAGGTCACTCTGTCCCCACACCCTGCCCCAGACAGACGCAATGAGAGCACTCACCTAGCGCCCTAACAATTCGCATCAGCACCTCCCCAACTTTCATCCTGGTCTCTGGTGTGTGCTTGCCTTGGCTGTTGTCATACTGAGCCAACAGGTCAACCAAGATCTTCTCAGGATACACATCTGAGAGGAGGGCAACACCTAGGATTAGGGGGCGAAAAAAGGATATACTGTTTAGTATTAAAAGGTGAATAAAGCTAGAAATCCTGTGACAAGATGAACAGAAACAATTATTTATTTGAAAGGCAGAGAGATGAAGAAGTAACTTCCTTTCATCCACAAATGTTTGCAACAATTGGGATTGGCAGGTCAGCTTCAGGACTCAGTCTGGGACACAAGCATATGGGCCATCACCTGGAATTGGGAGCAGGGCCAGAATTCAAACCCAGACACTTTGGTAAGGAATACAGGTGTTTTAAGTGGCACTTTAACTGCTGTGCCAAATACCTGGCCCTGACGACATTTAAAACTGTCTCTTCAGTTTCACTGGCAAGGGTTGCTTTTCATCTGGAGAGACAGAGCAAAAGAGAGAAGATGGTGTGGGAGCTTAGACTCTGGGTTCATTCAGTCCCATCTCAGTGTGCTCGTCAAGGTCCCTCCCAGCACTGACATCCCATGTCTGGGAACCCTGGACGTGTGATGATGCCAGGGCTGGATGCCACCCAGTATGGCAGGCACCCACTGCACAACAGGGACCAGGGGGACACCCCTAGGCACTCTCCTGAGTCTGCACTCCAAGGTCTCGGGTCAATGCAGCTGTCTGAGGCCAGCAGGGCTTCCTGCCTTGGCTGTAGTCCGTACCAGCATCATCTCTCTGCAAAATAAGAGGACTTCTAAACACTTGTGAAAAGTGGAATTAAAAGGTGTTCATCTGGAGTGAGCCCATAACCCCACAGTTTAAGATGCCTATACCCCATGTAGGAGTGTCTGGGTTTGAGTCTACTTCCAATTTCAGCTTCCTGTTATGTGCAGCCCAGAAGGTAGGTAATGGCCCAGGAAACTGAGTTAATGTGGGCCCAGACTGAGTTCCCCACTCCTGGAGTCATTACTGCTCTTCTTGACAGCATCTGAGGAGCAAGCTAGTCAATGGGAGCTCTCTATCTTCTTCTCGAATGAATGAGGGCCTGGCATGACAGCCTAGTGGCTAAATCCTAGCCTTACATGTGATAGGATCCCACACATATGGGTGCCTTATCATGTGCCGGCTGTTCTACTTCCTATCCAGCTCCCTGCCTTTGGCCTGGAAAAGCAGAGGAAGGGTCCCAAAGGTGGGACCCTGTACCAATGTGGAAGACCCAGAAGCAGCTCTGGCTCCTGGCTTTGGATCAGCTCAAATCTGGTCATTGCACCCCTTGAGGAGTAAACCAGTGCACGGAAGATCTTTCTCTATCTCATTCTCTGTAAATCTGCCTTTTGAATAGAAATAAGTAAATCTTTAAAAATGAATGAATAAATAAATGAATGGTAAACATCTTTATTCGTTGCAAAAAAACAAAAACAAAAACAAAACCCACCAAAAAACAAAACCTTTGAAATCCATGTATTTGAGGAGACTTCCAAAGAAATCCCTTACACTAACGAGGGCAATCTGCACAAGCATGCTGGGCACTGCCAGTGCTGGGCTCAGGCTGATGACAGACGCCGCGTCAGCACACGTAGGAAGGATCCCATCCCTGTCTCTCTCCTGAGGACTCCCTGTTCCCCTCCTCCACTGAAGAGGAAGGCCAGGGCCTCTTGAATGTACAACCTACAGTACCTACTGTCGTCTGAGATTTGGTTTCCAAACTGTACAAACAAACCCTCTTCCTCGGGGAAGAAAAGGCTTACATCTAGGAAGGGACAGTGAGGAGAAAGCAAAACAGGAAGCAAAGAGAACACTTCTTACCACCTCCAACCTAACCCTCCAGACCAGTCTCTTATCTCAGGCTGATGTCTCAGTAATCCTCGTCTGGTCTCACTGCTTCTCTCCTTTCCCCATGCTGCAGCAGCAGGAATGACATGGTTTAAAAGGCAAGTTGCAGCCTTTTAATTCCTCTGCCAACCCTCAGCCATTGCCCTTCTTGCCTCAACAGGAACAGCTTCCATCTACCCACCGCCCCTGCCTTTGCTCCTTCTCTGCCTCTATCTTTCTTTCTTTCATACACACACTCACTCACTATCGTTGAGCAATTCTGGCCACCTTGCTATTCTTTAAGCAGCCAAGGTGCTCATGGCACAGCCTCTCAGCCTGATTTGGGCCTCTTTCTTGGCAGCCCCAGCTCCAGGAGCCTCCAGGCTCCCCAGCCTCCATCCTGTCTCTGCTCTCCCTTCACCTATATCACCTAAAAACTGGCAGTTCCCCTCCCCGACCAGTCAGTCCCTCTCACTGTGCTTCATCTGCCATCCTAGCACAGAACACCACCTGACACGTGCTCTAGCTCTTTCTGTATTGGCTGCTCTCTTCCTTAGAACTCCACAAAGGCAGGATATTGCATTACTCCCTGCTGTATCAGTGTCTAGAGGACTGCCAGCACATTGCAGGTGCTTAAAAACCGTCTGCTATGGGGCATGTGTCGTGGAACAAAGGGTGATGCCAGCATCCTACAGTGGAGTGCTGGGTTGAGCCCCAGCTGCCCTACTTTAGATTCTCTTGCTTGTCAATGCTCTTGGCAGAAAGCAAATGATGGTCCAAGGGCCAGGACTCCTGGCACCCATGTTAGAGATCAGGAGGGATTTTCTGGCTCCTGGCTTCAGTCTGGCCAAGCTGTGGATGTAGTAGGCATTTGAGGAGTAAATCAGCTGATGAAAGATTTCTGTCTCCCTCTTTGTCACTCTTTCTTTCAAATAAATCAAACAAAAAGAACTATTTGTTGAACAAGTCAATGAATAAAAAAGTCCAATAATACGGTCTTGATATAAAGTCCAGGAATTAAAAAGAGAGAGAGAGAGAGAGAGGATGGCAAAGAAGTATTATAAATGCTTTGGAAATTTACAATGATTTTCCATCTGAATTTATTATTCTGCTTACATTGAAAATCCTGCAGGCAAAGCCAACACTCCATTTTTTATGTTACAGGTGGTGGTTTCATTCTCACATAAATCACATGCAGAGCCTCTTCACTGGGCACCTTAGGCACAGCATGTGGTGAGCGGTCAAGGCAGTGCACCTGCTGACAGCTGCACCTGTCCGCTCATTCTCCTTTGTGCCCTCCCCATACCCACCTACTCTTTGCTTCCAAAGAGCCCGGGATGTCTCTGCATGTGGTCTTAAACCACGCCTCCCTGGATGTGCCTCCAAGTTTATACAGGCAGAAGCTCTGCTCTTCAGAGATCTCCAGGCTGTGTCAGAACTTGAATTACAAGAGTTCCGTGTTGAAAAATGTTGACTGTCAGTGTGGTCCATTTGATTGTATCAAATGATGCAGAAGACCCTGCAGGGCCAAGCTGGAGCTAAAGAACATTCCAAACTAGGAAAATTGCCTGTGGCTTCAGAGAAAGGTAAATGAAATGTGTACAAGGAGAAAGAAAGGAAACAGCATGCAAGTTCTGAAAAAGCTGCAAAGAGCAGTGACTCGGGAGGTGGGAGCTGCAGGTGGATTACACGGCCTGGTATAGAGTACAGATCAGCAGCTGTAACAACCACTGTTTTCTTCACAAGCTTCCAACTCAGAAATCTGATGGGTTCACTTCCTTTTAGGAATTGAACAGGCTATCTTTAAAAAGTTCACTGTAAGCAATATTATAAGTTCATTTGGCTACCAAGAAAGTGAAATCTGTCTATGAGGGAATCTTCAGAGTTTGTGAACAATGCCTTTTATGAAAAACTATGTATAGATTTCAAATACTTTTTCACCAAAATGAACTTACATTTCGATTCTATTTTCCCACAGAATTTTTTGAAGAACCCTCATAGTAGAGATTTTTTTTATTATACAAATAAGTAAAATGGGATTTGCTTTATAAATCCATATCTAGCTTTCCTGAGACTCATCTATAAAGTCCCTGTCATTGTTGATTATTCCCCCATCCGTCACTGGCCTTGTTTGCTTCTGTGAACAGATTTCCCTGGTCAAATGACCTCAGTGGTCTTCTCTGTAGTGGGTAGACCCCAGGCTGTGCACATTATCTACTCTTTCTTCTGGAAACAACATCCCAGCATCAACACCCTCAGTTTGTTGGTTTCCTGCCATGGCTACCTACCCACCTTCTTTCCTTGAGGGCATGAACTCAACCCCAGGCTGCCTAACAAGGACATGCCATGTCCTCCCCACTACAGGTCCAAGAACAGGCCGTGAGTCTTGATCCTGCAACCCTCATTGGAACTACTGAGAAAGACAAGCTTTTCCCTGGCGTAGCCCATGGCCATGAGGTGAAGGCCCACCCAGAAATGATGCCAACAGAGAGAAGAGTCAAGCCAAGAGAGGGAGTCAAGCTCTGAGGCCCTGGATCCAGCTGCATTCCACCCACCAGCCAGGAACGCTACCCTATTATGCTCACACGGGCTTGATTCCCCACCACCCTCACCCCACCAAAGGAAATTGAACACACCTCGGATTAAACAATTCTATTTTCTACTTTCCCTAGGATGTCAAACTTTTAACTCCTCCAGGGAGCTTTAAGTTCTTCCAATTGTCTTCAAAAATGTTGCCGGCAGCCAAGTACAGTTTTTTGACTTCCCATAGTCCCAAGTATCCTGCTGGCCTGCTCCAGAGTGTGGCCATTTCCCTGGGCTGCTGTTCCAGGTTTACCTTCTGGGATGCAGCTGATAAACCCCTGCAGGAGGGTAGTTCCCGCATTACTCACCAAGCAGTCCAGAAAGTTGCCCATGATGATGGCTAATACTGCATTACAGTGAAAGGGATAAGCGAGGGATGGGCTTTTGTTTTGATGTGACTGCAATTTGGAAAGTCCTCTGAACATTGGCAGAAAAAGGACACTTGGTCATAACCTTCCCAGGACCCTTAGCCCCTCACACTTGATTATTCTTTTGTCATTTCAAAGTGGAATAACTTCTGGGTTGGCACTGGTCTCAAGGAAGCATGACACATCAATTCCTTTGGCAGTAAGAACCAAATGATGGGGTGAGAGGCGCCCGTTTCTGCTCTGACTGCAGGAAAATGATGGGAGTCACAGGACGTGGTGGGGTAGATAAAACACACTGA